AAAAAAAAAAAAACAACAACCCCAAAACAATAACAACTTTCTAGAAATGAAACACGAGACCTTTACATAGCTTAAGACATTTACTAAAAACAGTCTTTTTTTTCCTCAATTGTGGGTACTCTAAGTTCCAGCAAGTAATGAGATTCAAGTAACAACATACATGTAAATCCAGCAGCACTGAATGTGCTACGGCTTCATGGTCATATCTGTTACTTGGAAGATAATGAATATAATGTAGACATCAGTCAGTCTTAAAGAGTTTCTAAAAGAAAATGAGTAATTCCAAATCTCCATGAGAAAATTGTGTTTTCTCTCAACCCTTTGTTCCTGTAGCTGTTTTGACACTTATCTCACAACTCACACAAGCCAGTAAGACTTTCGCCTCGTATTTCTCGCTACCACAGAATGGCAAAGTTCTATCTAAATTTTCCACTCTTTAGAGTTACGAAGACCATGCGGTCAGAAATCAAATGTTCTCTCTGTCCCATGATCCATCTCGTGCCCTTGTTTGGCCAGTCGTGAGCTACTTAGACTTCGGTCGTATCTCTGGGGCCGATAGTTTTTAAGTGAATGAAGGTGAAGGACAGTCAAGTCAACTGGGGTTGAACTGACCGGAACTCGCGCTGTTTTTTCTATACACCTGATAGTAATTTGACAGTCGCGACGAAGTAACGGTCGAAAAAGTAGCATGAACAAGACTCACATAATTTCGCTGTTTTCGATACTTCTGTTCCCTTTACTTGTTCTAGTGACTCAAAATATGACGTGTCTGATAGTTAAGACCCTGGATATGTACCCGAACACGGCCGGAGTCGTAGTTCTAGGGCTAGATCTAACACTAGTACTGGTGCTGTTGTTAGCGCAACGAAATCACAACGTCGTGCCGTACATCTGTCTCATGTAATTCAGTGTATGGGTCTGAATCAATGCACAGCCCAGCTTGTATATTTTCACAAAAAACTCACACATGTATACAAATCAAAACAGAACACTACCAACTTTTATTTTTGTTGTTGTTTTGAATTTCATTCTATCTGTCACGTCTCTTGAAATTTTTCGTAAAATCAAATTCATGCCAATTTTTATGAATTCATACAAATTAGAGTATTAGACTTCGACAACTTTAGTTTTTTGTATTAGATTAAGCTTAAATGTAACTACTGTGTCACAAAATTATTACAATAGGGTAATTCTGAGAGTTGTGGTGGTGTTTTGAAATACTACCAAAAACTCCAGTTTTCCTTGCTTGTGACTGGTGAAAGGGCCCAGTCGTCAGTGAGTTCAAGAATTCTATTGTATCATCATACCTCAGTGCTGGAAGAAGCTGCTGTTTTGACAGCAGGACTTCAATGATCTCTTCATTTGCCGTTTGAATTCTCTGAAATGAATAGTAGAGGGGTCCTATGAGGAAAGAACATATAAATGAAACCTTTTCTATAACTATGAGATTTTGTGTCTCTTTTTTTTCGAAATGGAAAAAAAATGTAAATTCTGCTGCTACCATGAATTATACAAGGATGATATGAACAATATGTAAAGACTTGTGACGAGTGAAATTGAGGCTGGTTTGGCTGAAAAACCTCTAAAATCATACTCTAAAAAGTCAAACTTACACACCAAAAATTAAAAGTTTGAACAAAACAAACTATAACATTTTAAACTTAAAGTGAAAAACCACACAAAAAAATTATACAGACATCTATACAAAAAGGAACTTAAACCGCGATACAAGAAATAATAAAGTGGATTTTCTCCCTATTTACGGAATGAATACATCCCCAACCTGACCCACCAGTGCCAGACAAGGAACCTGACCAAAAGTCTGGAACGTAAGATAACCACGTGCGAAATGAGATGTCTAAGGAGAGCCGTCAACAAAACCAGACGGGACATGGTCAGAAACAAGAAGATCAGAGAAATGGCGGGAACAACACCTGTCCTCCACTACATCCGAAGGCAAACAATCTGGTAGTTTGGACATCTCACACGTATGGCACCTCACCAACTTGCC